TGGGCTGCCGGTGCACGTTGCCTGCTTATTATGAGCTTCTCATCCCCCAACCCCCCCAAGTCCCTCTCCTCGGGGCTGCTCTCGGCCTCCACGGTGGCCCCCCTGTGAGGCTCAGCACGGGGGGGCACGGCTCAGCTCTCCCATTCCGCACCCCGGGAGCCGCGCAGCCTGGCACTGCTGAATTATGCATGGGGCTTCATGCCACTGAAGGCGCCGCTGCTGGAAATGTAGGTCTTGCAGCTCCAGCCGTGGCGGGGGAGCGTGCATCATCCTCAGCGTGCGCCACGACGTGCGCGCGTCGGGAGAGAGAGGGATGAGGAATGGCAATGGTGCCCGGACGCTCTGGAGGAGGAGGGATTCACCAGTGGTCGTGCAAGGAGGTAGAGGCAGAGCCGCTCTCGGTGCCTGTGTTTCCCCTCGCTCTGCAAGCGGAGTTCAGCAATACTGATGGTTCGGAGCCACCGAGGCGTTGGGAACCTCAGGAGGAGTTGAGGTTGAGCTGAGGCTCCCCAAAGCCTTCGCTGCGGGGTGAAGCTCTTCCCATGCACCTCGCACCCAACCGACGGCGTCAGTGCGTCCGTCCCTGCTCGCGCCCCGGGTTTTGCCTCCCATGGGTGCACGGACCAGGAACCCGCGCGGAGAAGACCAGAATCCCAGCAGAAGCCAAAACCAAAGGAGGAAAGCAAGTAAGAGTCACTAATGTCATTAGAGGAATTACTGGAGAGGATTTGCCATAACAGATCAGACCATCAGTCCTTCAGGGCCAACCTGCTGACTCTGGCAATGGCCAATATGGTCTGCATCAGGAGAAAGGCAAAAATCCCCTGCTAGTGTGGGGCCGTAATTCCTTCCTGACCCCTTTGGTGATCGGCTTATGCCCTGAAGCATGAGATTTGATTACCCTCTTAGACTTATAAGGTTAATTCTTCTCGACGAGGCTCGTGCACGGCGGTAGGGGAAGGTTTGGGGTTTCTGTCCCGGGTCACAGGTAGATGCACAGGGGCGGCTTTTGTTGATGCTTTTGTGCGCTGGGGCTGGCTAAATGGCAAATCCCTGCTTTTCTCTGCAAGAAGTGTGGGTGCTCCTCCACCCTGTCCCTGTGTGCAGAGGGGATGTCCCCCCGTCCCCAGAGGGATGAGTTGGTGCGTTGGGTTCTGCTTGGCTCTGCTCAGGTGGGTGGTTGATCTAGGGGAGGTAACCCCATTTTCTCCTGCGTTGCTCAATGGCAACACCCCTTCTTTCTAGTCTTCATGGCCAAGAGCTGCCCCCTTGCTCGCGTGCCTTGGGGTCACCCCGTCATCTCCCATCTCGGTGGCCCAGTGGGCTCGTGGCACCCGGCAAGGTGTTTTTTGGCGAGGTGTCCCCGGCACCGGCAGCTGCAGGAACAACCGCCCTCAGCTGTTCCCTCTGTCTTGGCGGAGACACCATGTGTTTTCCTCTCGAGAGCTCCTCGGGCTGCTTCCAGCGTGAGTCAGAGCAGTGGGGCCGTCTCGGCAGGGGACGGTGAGGCGCGTTGTGCCGGGCTATGGCTGCTGCCGG